TCAGGGCGATTATTCCCTGGTATAAAATGAGTGGCGCTGCTGCTGCGGGTCGGTCCATGGGCCGAGCAGGCTTGTCATGTGGAAGTCCCGCAAACAGACATGAGTGAGTGAGCAAACGATGAAATATAGTTTGCTGGACTATCACTTGTTCTCTTTTCTTTATCGAGAGTAAAAGCTAGCTGACACCTTTACCCCACTTATGTATAGTTATGTACAGTCGAAGTTTAAGGTATCGTCTGCTAAAAAACGATAGGACATTGCTTCAAACCGTATAGACTGGAAGGTCTTGTTGGCCGGAGGCGTTAGCAGTTCCATTCATTCGTGGAGGGAGTGTGGTTGTGGTGGTTGTGCCAGACTGCAGCCATATGTGGGGTCCTGCAGCCAGCTGCATCGGGCTCTTCATCTCCAGCCATCGCCCGTGCCGTGTGCCGTACTCGCCAGAGAGAAAGAGAGAGAAAGAAAATGGGGAGGGGGGATAAATACCGGGGAAGTGTTTCTCATCGCGCGCGCGCTCACACGCACAGTGATGGCGCCACGCAGCGGCGCGCCGTGTGTTGTCTTAGTGCGGTGTAATAGGTCTCCGTCGCTTGACTGCTGCAACCCATTCGCGCTCAAAGTCTTAATTTTCGCAAAGGCCTTTACTACACGGGTTCTTTTGTTTCAGTACAACGCGGCAGTTGTCTAGCCTTTCCTGCCATGTTTTGTATAAAAAGAATCAGTCTTTTTCAAAAATAATAAATGTTTAGTGCAGTTTCATAAAAGTATTTCTAATATAGAGACAAATTTTTATCTGATTTCGAAATGTGCTTAGGAGAAAGCATCCTCGCTGGATACGATGTTGTGCTTTCCCATTTAGAGTCACAGGAAAACCTCACATAATATTTCTAGAAAATGGGAAAACTTTGAGGGATTTCCTTCGATTTAGGAACAGTCCTCTAATGTTGATGGAGTTCCGTCAAAAAAAAAAGGGGGGGGAAACCTTCATTTTCTGAGGAGGCTTCCTCGAAGATCAGACTATGGAAGTTCCTTTAGGTTTTCCCTTTTCCCTCAAAAAATCAGACATTGTTTACACCGTGGTGTAGATGACTTCATGAAGTCATTGTCCTGGTCAGGCAATTGATATTGGATGTGCCGTGCCCGACACCGTTGCGTCTCGCGTTAGCGCTGCGCCGCCGCTGTCCGTCCGTCCCTCGCGCCACAAGCCGTGCCCAGCCGCGCCAAGCCCGACGAGCGTGTTTCACTTTTTTTTTTACCGCGCGATATTTGCGGCCCGCCTCCTATAAATCTCCCCGGAGATGACTTTTCTCCTCCTTTCCGGGCTGTTGCATCGGGATGCGCCCGTCTGTCTGTCTGTCTGTCTGTCCGTCCGTGTATACTGCGCGAGAGCATCGCACCTACCCAGGCGCCGCCGGAACCGCACAAGGCATCAAATTAATTTCTCTGACGCCTCACTCGCTCCCACGACGCACGCTTTGCGCTCGCTAGGCTCCCCATAGTCTTCACTCTAGGCCTGCAGGCTTCTTCAGGCCGTTTACAGGCTCGCTCCAGGCCGTTTACAGGCTCGCTCCAGGCTCGCTCCAGGCTCGCTCCAGGCTCGCTCCAGGCTCGCTCAAGCTCGTTCCAGGCTCGTCCCAGTCTCGTGCCAGGCTCGCCCCAGTTTTGGTCTAGTCTTGCTCTATACTGACTCGCTCCAGGCCCGCTCCAGGCCCGCTCCAGGCCCGCTCCAGGCTCGCTGCCAGGCCTCAGCCAGCACGCGCTGCTGCTCCATTTCGCGTTCCTGTCCAGCGGGCCGGCGGCAATTACTGCCCTTTCCAATAAGGGTTATCCGTCTCACTCGCACTCATCAGAGGCAAACGAGCGAAAGAGAGAGAGAAAGAGAGAAATTGGAGGGAGGGGAAAGAGGAGAACAGTGGGCAGTCATACGGCACCCCACATTCCTAAACGGACTCGAGTGGGATAGAAAAGGTGGCCTACACTTTGCGAAAAAATAGTACCTGTTGTCCTCTTCATGAAGAAGTGGTTTAAATACACGGCGCGCGGCGTTCAGGACATTTGCGGCCGTAAAACGCGCTCGTGTGTGGCGTGACCATGCACGGATGCTTCCGCCCTCCTTTTTTTTCTTTCTTCCCATTTTATTTAGCTGTGCACCGTTACGCTACGCCACGCCGCGCAAAGCCGCAAAGTCAAGTTCAGGCGAATGGCAAATAATGCGACAAAGAAATGGAGCGCCGCGGCCGGTCGGT